CTCTCCAGAATCTGGCCATCAATGGTACGTGCGCGCGCCCACAGCCCTCCCCCGCCAACCAACCCAATGCTCGGCTATATGCACCTGGCCCTGGTTCACACGCGTCCCTCCATATGTGCTTTGGGGTGTATCGTGTGTGTCGTGTGGTGCAGTTGAGTGCAGGACCAACGTCTTCCTGAACGGCGGCGTGCACCAGGTGGTCTCCGTCATCCGGGAGGGCAACGAGGAGACGCTGCCCCACGCCCTCAGGGTGGTGATCAACCTCACGGCCGACGGTACACCACCACCCCACCACCGCGCTCGCGGGGAGGAGGGGGGCATACACTTGACACGTCGCCCAACCCAATCCTACGGCTGTCGCCGCTGCCGCCGGTGATGCTTGATTGATTCTCATTCCTGTGGTGTGGTGTGGTGTGCAGCCAAGGTGAGGCGGGCGTTCGTCGACGAGGGCGCCATTCCGCTGGTCGAGCGGTTCACGACCCGGGAGCCCGTCACCGCCCAGTGCGCCAAGCAGGCCCTCAACAACCTCAAGATCCCCTGCTAGACTCGGCTCAGCTGAGCCAAGTGTCCCCCAATGCTGGGCGAAGAAGGGTCCTCTGTGTTTTCTCCGTGCTTTTCTTCCTGTTGTTGCTGTAAACATTTTGGGGCTTTCCGGAGTGTGCGAGATCCCCTCATCCATCCCCTCATCCATCTTTGCCAAGTAGCACAAGACTTTACACACCTACAAGATGGGACTCGGCTGGCAGGCACTGGGCGTATTCTTGGGAGCGGAGGCGTTGGGGTGTGTTGTGCTCATCTTGCCGCTGCCCCTCGACACCAAGCGCTCCCTCCTTCAGTTCCTCTCGTCCAACCCACACGTGGCCAAGGCACAGTCCTACCTGTGGGTCATCTTCTTTCTCCTTCTCGCCCTCTTTGCCGGTAATCCCCCTCCTCCTCCAAACACCACTATCCGATAGTGTCCCAAGGTGCCACGTTGCGGCTCTCACTCACTGGCTGAGTGCCTGCGCCGCGATGCAGACAGCCTACGGGAGGCACACTTGGCCGGAGGAAGGCTGGAGGTCCACAACAGCCACTCCCACGAACACGGCGGTCACGACGACATGCACGCCCTCGAGGCCCACCTCTACGCCTCCCAGCGCAACGCTCTCCTCACCGGCGTGAGCCTCTTCCTACTCGTGTACCGCACCCCCCCCCCTTACCCCCAACCACCCAAAACTACACGTGTCGTGCTCCTGCGGAGGAGCCACGCAGGTGGTGTGCTGCTGCTTGGAGTGGCACGGCGAGGCCGCTTCCCTTCTCACCAGGCTTTGTTTTCTCGCTCTCGCTCTCGCTCTCGTGGGTCGACTGGTCGGTGCGCACGACAGCCTGCTGGGCAGGTACAGGGGTGCTCCTCGCAGGATTGTTTTTTTGTTTCTTTTGATGTTTTTTGTGCTCACGAGGGCGGTGGCGGTGGCAGGTTCGTGAATGTGGTGACGGCGCTGTTCAAGCTGGAGCAGAACGCCGAGATCCTGTCCAAGCAGGCGAAGAACCAGGAGAGCGCCTTTGTGCAGCACGCGGAGGAGAACGAGAAGCTGCGGAAGGAGCTCGAGGAGCAAAAGGCCGCCGTCGCCGAGTCGCAGGCCAAGCTGACTCAGACCAAGATGATGGCCAAGCAGGTGGAGAACCAGCAGAAGGAGTACCTGCGCGTGCTCGACGAAAACGAGCGGCTCCAGAAGGAGGTGCAGGACCTCACCGACCGACTCACCGCCAAGTCGAGCCAGGGCAAGAAGGACGACTGAGGAGGATCCGATCAAATGCCAGCACGCTGCTCCGAGAGGGGAGGTCTTGATGGGGCCACGGTTGATGGGGCCTGTTTGCGGGCATGCCCGCAAGAACCAGGAGGAGGAGGAGCGGCGTCGGCGAGACTCGGCACTGGGGAAGAGGCGCGTGACGACGAAGCCGAAGAACGGCGAGAGAAGAGAAGAAGAAGAAGACGAACTTTAGTCATCGGTGAGGTCCAGCACCACGATTGGCCGTGGTTTTCGTTGGCTGTTGTTGCTGTTGCCCGCTGTTGCTCGCCCATGGGCGGAGGATCGCTTCCGCTCGGACGTGCGACGAAGAGGCTGGGATGCTGCTGCCAGTGCCAGGGGAAGCGAGGGCGCACCACCACCACCACCACCACCACCAGCAGCAGGGGGTGGTGGGACGCTCCAGCCGCTCCGGTCGATGGTGTACGGGAGGCCTCCTTGGTCCACTTGGACCCGTCCGCCGGGAGTTGTGCTTTAGAAGGGGAGCAGGTGATTGGGAATGTAAGCAGCGGTTTCATTCGCGACTGTGTCCCTTCGAGGGGGAGGCGAGGCGCACCAAAAAGGCGGGAGGGAGGAGTCGCTGGGCGGATCGGGGCCGCCACGGGCCGCCACGCCCACGGGTGACCCTGGCGGGGTGTCCAGGATGATCACCTCCTCTTGCTCCTCCCTGCTGGCGAGAGCTCCCTGCTCGCCGCCGCTATCCTCATCCGATTGGCCCTCGTCCCAGTCGTCCTCAGCTTCCCCCCGGCCGTCGTCGTCGTCGTCGTCGATGATGAGGACCAAGCGTGACTCCTCCTCGCGCCGGCGGGCCGCTTGGTCTTGACCTCTCTGTCGGGCAAGCGCGTCCAGAACGCAGTGGAGATCTGTCCACACCACCCCCTCCACCCATTAATGGACCCCGCCAGCAGCGGGTCAACCACCACCACCAGCAGCCACCACCAGCCACCGCCAACGCCTGCCACAGCCCCCCATCCCCTCCACGCCACACGTCATCATCCCAACACGCGTGCCGAGGCTATGGGTCCCCTCCCCCAAATAGGGGGGGGGGCAGCGTGGCAAAATGGGCATCATCCGAGCAACCGGTGGTCAGTTGCATCACATGTGTGGATATATATCACACACACGCGCGCGCGCGTGTGTGTGCCCATTTTGCCGCCAAAGCTCTTGTGCCTCGGAGCTGCACTCTAAACGCACGCCCACCACGACCGTGGCGGGGGCCGGGGGCGGCCTTTGGGGAGCGAGTGTGATACGCGTGCGAGGGCGCGGCGTACGACACCACAGCCAGCACAGCACAGCACAGCACAGCACAGCACAGCACAGCACAGCACAGCACAGCACAGCACAGCACAGCACAGCACAGCACAGCACAGCACAGCACACAGCGTAGTAGTAGGAAAGGGAGCACCGGCGAGGTCACATGCAACTTCAATTCAAGGAGGGGAGCGAGGAGGACGCGCATCAACAAGCGCGCACGGACGGGATGGGGAGGGAGGAGGAGGTGGAGGGAGGAAAGGGGGGGGGTACTCTTTTTGGCCATCACTTTAGCGTGGGCCTTGATCTGGTAGGAGTTGGGGCGTGTCTTTCTCAGGTGGCTCATGAGATGCCTGCACTCGCCCACCGATGGCCATCGGCCAGCGTTAGTGCACCCACGGGCCCATGGCCAAGCAGATCGGTCGGTGGCCCAGCAGATGCGAAGGTGAGGGGGGGGGGTATTACTTAAAGTCGGCGTCGTTGGAGACGATGGCAAACATGCTGTCCTGGGGGATGATCCGGTTGAGTTCGCCAGCGGCATACGTCAACCCAAAGTCGGCCGAATTCTTGCCGCCACCGCACACTGTGACAAAAAGCCTGCAGGCCCACACATTGGGGGGGGGAGGGAGGTAGTGAGCCCCGATTACACAACAAATAATACTAATAATAATAATACGATAGATCTTTGTGGAAAAAAAAAAAACAAGGAAGGAAGGAAGAGCGAGAGAGAGCGAGAAACACGCCTCCGTGTAGGCTGAGCGCAGCCCGCACGGTGGCCACAGTGGGGGCGGGTGCCTAACCTGTTTTCGGGCACATGGCCGGCGATGAGTGGTTGCCGTGGCAGGCTGCCGTACACGCCGCCGCCTCCACAGAAGACGACGACCAGCACGTTGGGGGGCACAGGCCGCCAGATGTTGAACCAGCCCGCCGCGTTGTCCAGGTCCTGCATAACATCGCACACGACACACGACACACGACACACCGTGCCCGTGGAGGAGTGGGACGCGCGTTGTTAGTCGCACCACCCAGCACCACCCAGCAGGAGGTGGAGAAGAAAAAGGAGGAGGAGGAGGAGGAGGAGGTGGTGGGAAGGGATAGGGGGGAGGAGGTGGGGGGGCGTACGTACGTAGAGGACGACCATGTCGATGCCGGCGAAGCGGTCGGGGTGGCGAGCGATGCGGGAGCAGAGGTCAGTCTTGGTCCAGCCGTCCTCCACCAGACGCGCCGCGTTGACGCGCCCGTTGGGGCGGCCGCCCGTGTTGGGCAGCTGCGAGGGTTGAGGGTAGGGCCACGGAGGGCACAGCGTCACTGACTCCCCGTCGGGCACCACAAAGCACGACGACGACGACGCTGCCGTTGTGGGCTGCCGCGTCCTGCTGGCCTCCCTTGCCGAAAGCTTTCTCGAGGCGGCGCGTTTCTGCTGCGAGTTCGTCCGAGCGCGTTTGGGGGGCGGAGGGGAAGATCCCCTGCGCAAGGGATCTGAACCCTTTCCCGTGACGAGGGGGATGTAGTCCAGCTCGTGCATCTTTGATGGCCACAATTAATGCAGTGCCTGTCTTGGCGGTCTTGGTGTTGTGGCTGCGAGCAGAGAGAGATGCAGAAAGTGAAAAAATTTCACAAAATAAAAAAGCACGCCTTCCTATTTTCGTTCAAAGTTTGGACAAAACGCAAAGACAGGGGAAAACCGTTCCGAAACGGGGAAAACCGTAAAATGTTGGGGTAAGCCTTGGTTTCGTCGCGGAATACTCTGTCTTTGCGTTTGGTTGTCCGCTATCCAGCAACTCGAGCAATAAATAGAATTTTATTTGCCTGGGACAAAAAAAAAGGGTCCGAGAAGGGCGGTCAGTCGGCCTTGGCGGGCTGGGGCCTGCGCTTCTTGGTGGCGCCACTCGACTTCTTGTCCGACGACGCACCAGCTCCTTCCGCGCCCGCCTGCGCGGCGGCGGCGGCGGCCTCCAGCTGCTGCTGCTTCTTCTTTTTCCTCCTCTCCTCCTGTGGAGTCTCCGGCTCGGCGTTGTTGGCCAGCAGCCTGGTGAATGGGGTCGGATGGGGATGGGGGATGGGGGAAGGACGTGAGCGCACGAGCCAGCAGAGGAGGAGGGGGGCGGTTGGTCGGAAGGAGAGAGCAAGGATTATGTGGTGGCGGGTGGTGGCGGTGGCT